AAGCCAGTTAGACCATCTGCACATCATGGTGAGCCTACCGCATCTTTCTCTGATGTCCACAGTGAGTGGACGTGGTACAAAAGACCTGAGCACATCTCTGAGCTTGAGAGACGCTTTTGATAACCCCAGGTTAATTATCGGCCCTTTTCTTTGTAATGCTTTGAAGCCTGTCTCCCACAATTTCATTAAGTTTCTCTCTGTGTTTACTTTGTAAATGGCTTTTTAAAATAATCATACATAAAAATGAAAAAAATAAACATCATTGGCATTTTTTTTTTATCTAAGTGAGATGGAGTGTTAGTTCTGTTTTTTCAAGAACAACAGATTTATTTTTATTCATTTAGCCTCATGGAATGTGCCAGGTGTCTGACCAAATGCTGATTGGATAAAATATTATTTAGAGTGTAACCATTTTAATTGCGATTAAGGCTGTTTTATCAGTTTTCCTTTTCCCATGCTCTTCGCATCATCTGGGAAATTGCCCAAGGGCTAGAGGATAACCTCATACATTATTTTTTCCCTGAATGTTTTATAATTTCATGCTTTACACTTATTTTTGGGACAAAGATGTGAATTCAAGATCAAAGTCAGACCTTTAAAACGTTACATGCATTAAAAAATTTATGTGTATATGTGTGTGTGTGTGTGTGTGCTCATGAATGTGCCTGTGCACACAGAGCATAGTATGCATATAGAGTGAATGTGTACGGCTTCCTCTATGAAGAGTATCCTTCTTCTATACAGAAGTCGTTCCTGTGGGCTTCTTAGTTGCCAGCTGGGCGTGATGGTTTGGTGGGCCCCAGTTCTCGCTCCGGCTGTCAATCTGTGTCATGCTCTTCACTTTAGTCTTCAACATGGTCTTACCTGTGGTAGGGTCCAATTTCTGCATTTTCATTACCCATGTCCTTCTATATGCACCATGGAATAAACCTGTCTTATTCACCAAACCTGGCTGGAGTTCTGGAGAGATGGCTCAGTGGTTAAGAGCACTTGCTGTTCTTCCAGAGAACTCAGGTTCGAATCCCAACACCCACATGGTGGCTCATAACTGCTTTTAGAGCCAGCTCTGTATTAACCCTTTACATATTTTGCTAAGTCTATGCCTAATTATTTCACTTGTTTTGTAAATGGAATTGTATTTGTGACTTAGGTTTTCACACATACAAATGCACTTAGGTTTTGTGGTTGATCTTGTATGACTTTTCTAGCCTTGCTTAAGTTTAGATTCCTGAAGTCTGATTTCCTATAAAGACAAAAAGACATTTACATCTGTGTGTCTTTTCTTTCTCTTGATTATGACCTTCTAGAGCTTCCTGTACTGTGTTGAGTAACAGTGCTTTGTCCGCAATCTTACCACCTTCTTTTAATTCTTGTTTATTTATTTATTTACTGAGCCAGATCTGTCTATGCAGCCAAGCCTGACTTAGAATTCATGTCACAACCTGGGATTCACTCAGTGTCTCTTCCAAAATCACGAGTTCTTTTCTTGGCCGTGCCTATTCTACTTTTGTGCTCACTCTTAAATTATTTTAGCTTCCTATATAGATTATCAACCTGAGTATATATGTATTCCTATAAGAGAAATCTCTTGTTTATTGTATGATGTAACACTTGTCAAAAACAACTATGGACTATAGATGAGGCAGGAAATAGAAGGTGGAACATCCAGCAGGCAGAAGGGATTTTGGGATGGAGCCAGTTATGGGGGATTCAACTAACAGGATGTAAGGAGAATGGAGGCATGATACCTGAACATAGGTAACCAACCATGTGGCAAAATGTAGATTTGTAAAATGGGTTATTTTAAGTTATGAGTTAGTCAGAGAAGAGTCTTGCTATATGACCTAGGTATTTGTAAAATATGTGAAGTCTCATGAGAGCTTGGGGCAGGGAGGAAAACCCAAACCTACAACATATTCCTATTCTCAAATTGCTCATCAATTTCACCTCTCTTCTTGATTATCTTTATCGGAACTACTTAAAAGTCCACATGGTACAGTTTGGACAGGAAATATAGCCTGAAAGACTTAGGTGTTGAAGGCTTGGTTTCCAGGGCAAAAGCTGGAGGTGGGGCCTTTGGGAAGTGATTGTCTTATGAGGGCTCAAGTTCTTCCTTGATGGCATTATTGACAGGTATTGAAAACTAGGAGGTGGGGCCTAATTGGAGGACATCATTCCCAGTGGGCATGCCTTAGGAGGATCCAGCCTCTCTTCTCTTCCCTTCCTCCTCCGAAATTCTTCCTGGCTACTATAAAGTGAGCAACTTCCTCCCACAACATATCAATTCATTGTGCATGGGTCCAGAAGCTCCAGAGCCCAGTGACCGTGGCCTGAAACCTTAGAAGACGTGAACAACAATAGATCTTTTCTTCTGTTGAATCGTTTATCCCAGGTTTTTTTTTGTCACACTGACAAAACCCTAAAATACTACATTCGATGACTTTAATATAGGAAGTTCCCACAGGCCTCTTTCTGTTGTTCATTTTGTTTCCTCTTGATCTGTCTCTCAGGTTGACTGGTAATATTTGACTCAGTGCCAGACCTTGTGGATGACATGTGTCGAGGCTCTGGCTGGGGCTGTGTTCCTGAAGGCAGCACCGTATTAAAGGCCCTTGCAGACATTCCCAGTAACAGCAGAAGGATCCCATCCATTGAGGGGCGCTCTGCCTCCACAGCCGGGGTTGGCTATCCAAAGATCCGGCTTGCGGCTGCCTCCTTCCTTAGTCTTGGGTGTCTTCTTCAAGCATTCCCTGGAGCTTTCCATAGTGTACCCTGAACTCCACTTGTGTTCACTTCTTCCCTCTCTCCCTTCCTGCTTCCTTCCTTTCTCCTTCCTCCTGTGTAGTATACACAAGTGCACATGATCATATGGCCAGAGGGTAGGGTGTCTTCCTTAACTTCTCATTTACTTCTATTTACTCTTTTTTTTTGTTTGTTTGTTTATTTTGAGACTGGGTTTCTCTGTGTAGCCTTGGCTGTCCTGGACTCCTTTTGTAAGCCAGGCTGGCCTCGAACACACAGAGACCCACCCGCCTCTGTCTCCCTGAGTGCTGGGGTTACAGGTGTGTGCCACCACACCCGGTTCTTGCTTACTTTTTGAAGACCTATTTTCATTTTGTATTCTTATCATTTTGCTTTGCTTGTGTGAATGCATCTACACCATTTGTGTGTGACAACATGCTAGAAGAGAGTAACAGAAACCCCATAGACTGGTTACAGACAGTCCCAAGCCACGAAGCAGGTGCTGGGGACCCAGGTCCTCTGCAAGAGCAGCAAGTGCACTTAACCACTGAATAATCTCTCGATCCCTTCCTACATTTTTTTTTTTTTTTGAGACAGTTTTTCTCACTGAACATGGAGCTCACCAATTCTGAGAGAATAGCCTGGGAGCTGCAGGACTCTTGTTTGCACCCTCCTGTCACTGGGATTACAGTCACACCACCAGGCCTGGCTTTCACATGTGAGCAAGTTTCCATGCTTGTTTGACAGTTACTTTATTTACTAAGCCATTTTCCCAACGCTCCAATTTTTATTTTCTTGCATTGTTGAGACTTTTTTAAAATGCTGCTTAAAACAGCCTCTCACTGTCTTTTCTCGAGCTCCCTGTGCGCAGTGTCCACCTGCCTTGAGGAGGAAGGCCATCAGACAGCCAGCTCATGCTCCATACTTCCTTCTTGCCAGCATCAGGGCTCCTCCAGCCATGGCTTCCTTGCCAGCCCCTGGAATACCCCACAGCTGTTTCTGGGCTGGCATGTCAGCTGGGCATGATTCTGTGTGGAGCATTTTCAGGGTCTTTTTTCTCCACTTGGGAAGGATGGGTGGATGGCCACAGATGAAGCTCTGGCTATAGGCAAGAGTCTGTCTGTGGACTTTCATCAAACACTTGAGAGTGTACAAAGGATGCTCCCCTGAGTCCCTCCCTTAGCTTATTAATGCTGTCAGTAACATTACTTCCTCATGTTAAGCTGGCCTTGTGTTTTAAAAGTGAACGTGGACATGGGATGTTGGCTGTTTCCACATTGCTAGAGTTGATTGGCTGAGTGAGATTGGACGCGACTTTTATTTCTTGTTCTGCCCTTGTTAGAGTGAGTGTCAGGCTACACTGTCCTTTCCAGTGGACTCTGGGGTGTTCCTTGCTGTCTGATATCTGATGGATTAGGCAAGTCCTGTGGTTTCACTTATGCTGCTGTGACAAGCTCCATGACCAAAAGGAACTTAGGGAAGGAAAAGATTTATTTGGCTTACAATTCCAGGTCACAGTCCATTGTTGGGGGAAGGAACTGAACACTGGAACCGGAGCCAGAAGGTAGACCTACCAGCTGTTCTGTGCTGCATTACACCCAACAGGAACTGAAGGAACCGCAGTAGAAACCATGGCTTGCTAATAGTATTGTTCTTAGCTAGCTTTTGTATACAGCACAGCAGCACCTGTCCAGAGAATGGTGCTTCCCGCAGTGGGCTGGGCCCTCCTACCTACATTAACAATGAAGACAGTCCCCCACAGAGGCCCACAGGCCAGTATGATCTAGACAGTCCCCAAATTGAGGCTCCTTCTCAGGTGACTCTAGTATGTGTCAAGTCGGCAACTCCAACAGTAAGGCTCTTTACAGGAACAGAAGTAATGGAATGTAAAAACCTATATTTACAACTCTGTATTTGTGTGTAATAAAATTTATGAGACTGCCTCACACAATACAGTCTAGGTAATCCACCTACACTCAGAAGAGGCCGAGAATCTGGTAGCTGCTCAGTCCACAAGGCTGGATGCCTCAACTGTTCTAGTCTGGCACTGAAGACCTGGTTCTCCATGGAGAGTCACTGGCATTGAGCCTGCCTTAGAAGGTCAAAGAAGCTGGAGTCTGATGCCAGCAGAGGGAGGGTGGTCATGGCCTGTGGAGGTGGCTGTGGCTGCGGCAGAAGCGGTGGCAGTGGTGAGAACTGATGTACTCCTCAGGAAGAAGTGAGAGTGGATGGGCAGGCAACACTGCCTTTTTCTTGGACCTCTGTATCTGGGTTGCTCCTTGGATGACGTCACCCACTTTGAAGGTGAGCTGTTTCTCCTCAGTTAATCTCTGAAAGAACCGTCACAAACATGCTCGTAGGTGTCTCGAAGGTGACTTTAAGTCCTCTCAGATTGGCATGTCTAACTCTTGCAGCCAAACAGACTTTCACAATTCTAACTATCTTTTGTTGGACGTTTTATAGAATTTAATGGGTGAAAATTTCTGAGGCTAGTGTTTCACTAGGAAGAAGGTGCTAAATTAGGACTTCAATTCAGGTCTATGAATATCTTCTAGTACTGCATTGGAAGGCACTTTCCTAGGAATTTGTCAATTCATTTAGAATTTTAAATATAGGAAATAAAGGTTTTTTGTATTTGTAGCATATTCTCCTACTAACCACTAGTTTACGGATGCTTATGGAAGTATGTTTACTTTCTAATTTGGGAGGATTTAATTGATTTATTTTTTTATTAAAGGTGTGCATGTGTGTTTATACACGTATATTTGTGCACTTCAGGTGAAGGTGCCTGAGAAGACGGAAGAGGGGAATTTCCTGGACCTGGAGTTACAGGTGGTTGCTGAGAACCCAAATCAGGTCACGTGCAAGAGCAGCACAACATCTCTCCAGCCCTTGGTAGGTGTTTTTTGAGACAAGGTATCTCTCCACACTTAGCTCTAGCTGGCCTTGAACTTGTGTCCATTCTCTTGCCTCTGCCACACAACTTGTCTCTAATAGTTCTAATTTGCTGTGTGCCTCTTTTTATCTGTGACCAATAGTTCCAAAATATGGCAATTTAATTTCTCCCCTGTGAACACTTTTTTGTGTCCTCTGGTGTGTTTTCTTCCTCATTCTTTATTATTTATGTTCATGGCTTTGCATTAGCCTGCTTTTCTCTTGCATATTTTTAGATAAGTTCACACATTTTCAGTTTTTCCAAAATAATTGTTTAGCACTTTAAGTTTTCTTGTGTACATAGTTTTAGCTTCATTTCTTAAGTTTTGACACATAGTATTCTTTTTAAAATAATTTTTATTCTTATTTATTTATTTGTGTGTTTCCCATGTGTGCAGTGTCTGTGGAATGCAGGAGTTATCGGTCCTGGAACTTGCATTGGAGACTGTGTGAGCCACTATGTGACTGTGGGAATTGAACCTGGGTTCTCAGGAAGATCATCCAGGGCTCGGAACCACTCTCTCCAGCCCCGGTATGCAGTGTGCAGCATTCTTCACTACCTTCTAGGATAAGCAAGTTCTAATTTCTGCTGTGACGTTTGAACCCTGGGTTGGGGCTGTTTTCCTTGAATTCCCATCAGTGTTTTTCTCGTTTTCCCTCTGCGCTCACAGGACCTGGCCTGGGAACTGCCAAGGCTCTCAGAGTTCTGGAGACATGTTTTTAGCCCAGCATGCCATCCATTTTAAAACACATTGTCTTTTGCACTATAAAGACTGTGTGCACTTATTAACTGTGTTATTTACATTTCCCATGTCCCTGCTGACTTAGAAGTGTCCTCAATCTGTCACAGTAGCGTAGCTGTTCTGCCTGGGTGTGACATGACCATGGCAGTCTTGAAGCTGAGTAGCTGTGCTGACTTACCGAAGACCTTGGACATAGCCATGACAATGAAATAAGCAGAATGATAGGTTGACAGCCAGGTCTGTGGCTACAGTGAAGAGGCTCTTCCCTGTGGAAGGACCAGGGGCCACTGAGGAACCTCAGCTGAGATCCAATCACACTTCCTACTGCTCCAGCTGCCCAAGGAATGAATGAGAATTACCTCCCCACCCTCATAGGCTTATGCGTTTGAACACTCAGTGCCCAGTTGGTGGTGCTGTTTGGAAGGTCATGGGGGAAGTGCCGCCTTACTGAAGGAATTACATCACTGGGGGTGGGCTCTGAGCTCTCATAGCCTCATGCCACTGCCGGGTCTCTTTCTGGTTCATGTTGTGGTTGAAAATGTGATTTCTCATGCTTGTTCTTTGCTGACATACTTTCTCTGTCATGATGGACTCTCCCTCTAAAACCTCAAACCCAAATAAACTCTTCCTTCCTTAAGCTGCCTTGGGTCATGGTGTCTACGACAGCGACATAAAGTCACCACAAGTTGAAAAGTGCTGCAGCTCTGTGTGCAGGAGCCTGCCTTGGTGTGTACTGCCAGTGCTGGTTGTGGTAAAGCTTTGTTCTGGAAGGTCTATTTTACTTGATGTGACAGCTGCCACCTGAGCTCTGCTTTGACTGGAAGTTGCCCATCACTCTCTCCCCGGCCTCTTATTCTCTCTCCTGCTCATCTAAATCTTTGTTTTAGAAAGTATCTCTTATACATAGCTGGTCAGGCTGGAGAGGTAGCTAAGATCTTGCTGAGGACCCTCTTTCAGTTCCTAAAATCCATGTGGTGACTCGAAACTGACGCCCTCTTCTGGTCCCCTGCTTGTTGGGCCACACATGGCCACACATGGCCTGGACTCCCCCCCTTATGCCTGCTGCTCTGAAGTGCCTCACCAGTGCTCTGAACAGACTTACCCTGAGCCTAGAGTTGGCAAACCCACATGCTCACTGTCTCCAGGTGGGATGGCTTCTAAACAGGGGGAGCATCTCTGGGAGCAGTGCTGGGTAGCCGCATCTTAGGGGGCTTTGGGGATACATCCCATCCGTGCAAAGCCTTAGCTTTGTAGCAGGAGAGTGCTGTGTGTGTGTGTGTGTGTGTGTGTGTGTTGTGTAAGCCAGAGAACGGGTGTGTGTCCAGAGTGATTTTAATGTCTCTCACCCTCAAGTATCCATGGTCTGAATATTTAGGACATATAATTTAAGTAATTGTAAAAGTGTGTGTGTGCATGTATGCCGCATGTGTGCACATGTCACATGGGTTCCTGTGGAGGACCATGTACCTGGAAAGATAGGGGGTTGTGAGCTGCTCAGTATGGGCACTGGAAACTGAACTTGTGTTCTCTGAAGAATAGCAAGTCCTCAGCCATTTAAGCCATCTCTCCATCCCTGGAAATGAGATATTAAAAGAGGAAGTAGCCTCTGGACTCTCACTGCGCTCATAACACCTTCCCCAGCTCTTATGTGCTTACAGCTTGCTTGTTGGTGGACGCTGTGGCTGAGCATCCTTCCTGGCCACGCTTGCTGAGGTCTCCTTGGCTGACCAGAGCTCCACTGGGGCAGACAGTTAATGAACTTTCTCGAGCTCTTTGAAGAAGAGGCTTCTGGGATTCCACTTTGGTGATGCTGATATGGACGCCCCGACTTCATCAGTCAGCTGTGAAGATCACATGCTTTCTCAGCACCCCTGTTTCTTTCTACTGTTTTCATATCTGTGGAGGACAGTGAGTGCAGTGATGAGAGGTCCTCAGTGGGCACCCAGGGCTGTGCCTGGCAAGTCGCTGAGATGCTGGCCAGTCAGGATGCCCTTGGCTCAGGCATCTCCAGACCCTGTGGGCTTCCTACACTGTGCTCAGATAACCCCTAGGGATGCCTGGGCCAGGCACACTTTGCATTTCTGTTCACTGAAATGCGAGGTGAAAACCTGTATGCAAAATAGGGTTTGTTTGTTTCTCCAGGTGGGAGTGTGCTGTTCAGGTCGCCTCTGTTCTCACTAAGTACCCAATCACATAGCACTAAGCCATCAGCCACCTCATGGAGGAAAGCAATCAATCTTTCATGAGGCTCTCACACCCACCCTCGAATGACAAACACTTTAATTCCAAATTAAATACAGCAACACAGCTCTGATGAGGCCGTTGTTCCATTGCACCATCATTTTCCATCTCTTTTGGAGTCGATTAAATTAGTCCTAATTAGAGGGAGGTAAACATTTCTGGAGGACATGCCTTTGCTGCTGAGGTTGGCTACTGCCTGAGAACAGGGCCTACTTGTGTACCCTTGCTCTCGAGCTCCCTGAGTCATTTGTGATGAACTGTGGCCTCAGGTCTTGGGCAGTCCTGGCAGGCAGATGGGATGGATGACCCCTGACCCCCTGGATTCCTCCTTGTTCAAATTGCACAGTTCACATGGAAAATCAGATGGTGCAGTAAGTCAGTGGCTGGGTCCTGCTGAGAACGTGGCTGACCACAGGCGTTTATCTCTCCCAGGTCACAAAAGCAAAACAGCGGAGTATGCAAATGCTTATCCGAGGCCTCCGTCTCACTGCCCTGTAGGTGTACTGTAGATGCCATGCAGTTGCCACACGGTGCACCCTGGTGGGTAATGGCATCATCCAGAAAAGAAGCAGCTCCCATCTCTGTGTCAAGCCGGGCACAGCAGGACACCTTCCAGCTGCTTGCAGAATTGCTGCCAGACAGGCCTGATGCTTGTTAGTCAGATGTCGGAAGCGGGTGGGACTCACTGTTCCCCAGGCGACGTCTCTTTAACAGCCAAAGAGACACACGTGGCCCTTACTATGTCTGATTGTGCCATCCTTGTGCCCTTTGCTTGGCAAGGCTGAATATGAGTGAGTTCCTTGGATTGGAGCCCTGCTGTTCTTTCTTGACAAGGCTGAGGAGTTGGCAGAGTCAGCTTAGATGTCGTCTCTTCTAGGAAGCCTACCTAAGAGAGAGGCTCTGTCTTCTGTGCTGATCTAGTTCCCACTTTTGTATTGTAGGACTTCTTCCGCATTGAGGCAGCTGGTTTCTCTGTCTCTCTCTTTCTTGATGTAGTGTGTTTCAGCCCCCACGATGGATGTCAGGCATGGAGAGCATGGCTCAATGGGGAGTGCTGATCTGAAGCCTTATGAACAAATGTGTGTGTGTGTGTGTGCACGTGCATGCATGCATATGTGGGCACAGGTACTAGGTACAGATGTCACATGTGTGTATTCATATTTTGGATCTTCCTATATGGTGTTCAATCAGGGTTGCAGACTCTAAACCTGCCTCATTCCAAGGAACCCTATGGGAAGATGGGAAGTCTGGAGGTGGGTGGGCGCTTCTCCATTACAGACCCAGAGCTCTGGGAGCCGAAAGCTGTACCACCCCGCCTAAGGTCTCTTGGGGTATGGAAATGTTTGTGCCTGGCTTTGCTGTTCTGTTTGTCCTGCTGCCAAGCGTCTGATGTTGCCTTTTGGCAATAAAACAGTCAAAACCCAGCTGAGTGAGCTGAGTGTCAAGCAGCTGTAAACAAATCCGAAGTGGTAAGTTCTAACGCCTCCCCTCCTCGCCCCACAGCCTCACACACAGATCAGCAGGGTAAGGGAAGGAAGCACTACATTTGGGCTCTGCTGTATTTTGTTATCTGTTTGCTCGCCTCTAAAACTCCAGTGAATAGACCAGATGCAGTTTCCATGGCAACCTCCAGCCCTGTATGCTCAGAAAGCCAGTGTTCAGCATAATCTTCCCAAGGTCTCTAGGCTCCCAGGGTGGGCAAGTGGGGGGTGTTTATCTGAATGGGAGCCTTGGTGGGAGGTGGCCCTTCCTGTGCCTGCCATGGTCACCTCCCTCAGTGAGGTGACTTCAGTGAGGTCACTTTGCTTCCTGAGTGAGGGACAGACTTGAAGAGTGATGATTGGGGAGAAGCTGAGAATGAGCCACAAATCAATTGGTCCTCCCTTCCTTCAAAGACCAACTAGTCTTCAAAATTTTATGGTGGGGATTGTGACTAGTCACCTTTTTTGCAGAGGGACAAAAGGGACTTGGTTCAGTGAGGGGCAAAGTTAGAACTGAGCTCGGTATGTGTGCCTTCCCTGCTCGTGTTGTTGCCCATGGGCGACCCCATCAGGCTGTGTCCCACAGCTTCTTGAGGCCTAGGCAGGGCCAACCTGTGGACACTGAGGTGGAGGCCTGATGGTCATAGCTCCCACAGGCCTGCCGAGGTGTCCGGTGCTCACGTCCAGCTGCCCACCAACAGAGTTTTTAGAAAGCCCTGGCACATTGCTCACCAACCTGTAATGATACCGACAGCATGCAGTCTGGCATGGCCACCAGGTCCAGCCAGTTCTCCTTGAACCTAAATAGGCTCAGGTGCAATTCAGTTTGAAGTCAGCATACATTGGTGACATTCAAAGACTCCCAAGCTTAAAGTGACTGATCTATGACAACAAACATTTGTGATCTCAAATCTTTGCACCATCATCGGAATTTCTGCTGAACAACAGGGTTCCGATGCATTAGTCTAGAAGGTTCTGTTGACAGCCTAGGCCCAGATGCACAGGG